GACACTAACTTCGTGCTGCGCGTATTCCTCGGCGCCGGCCGCCTTCCCAAAATCGGCGTATTTGGTGGTGCAGTGCAGGACGCCGGGCGGCCTCTTCACGAAGTAGCTGGTGAGATCTATTTTTATTTTGGGATCTTCGATAGCAGGAGCAACTGCAAATAGAGGTAAATAAGGTTACTCCTAAAAGCTGATGCCACCAGCCCGTTCCCACCCCGCGAGCCTGCGGCCCCTCTGGTTTTCAGGCCATCCTCAGCGTTTCGTCTTGCTGCTGAAGGCTACAAGTGAAACGTCTTCCCCACAGCTAGGCCTGGATGTAACCAGAAAAACTTGTGCCCATCGCCGCGACTCATCTCAACCCCAGTGCTGTAAGAGCCCTGCGGGGCCAAGATTCCCCCCTCCAGCCCTTTTCCCTGCCACTCCTCGTGTCCCCTGTGGCAGCACCGGGGATACTCAGCTGCTCCGAGCGGCGCTGCCAGCCTCCTGCCTCGGTCCCCACCTCATTTGTTTGCAACCTGCAAGAGCAGCTTTGTCTGCTGTGCAAAACCGACTAGTAAGTGTGTGCAAACAGGCTATTTTTAGCCAACTGTAACTAAAAGTGTCACTTTAGAAGCTGACCAAGTCTGCTCTATTTGTTTAATGTCAATGTTTGATCAACGGATAAAAATTTCCTATTTCTATACATACAGTATTTACTCTCCTTTTTGAAGGCTTTAAGGCTTCCAAGCTCATCTAAGAAGACCTGACCAGTCTTCCGCAGGATCTCTGAACTTCTTTTACTCAAAAACCATGCGAAATACATGGGTAGGAAATCTTTCTCCAAGCTTGGTTTCATCTTCTTCAGCTCTTCCACGGACAGTTTCCACTGGTTCTTCTCCTTAAGCTGCAAGCAATCTATTCTCCACTGCGTCTTTGGCTCCGCAAAGATGATTTTGTACCGGTATTTGTCAGCAATATCAAACAGTTGATCCAGCCGTTCCCTTTCATGGTGAGTGTCATCCAAAACGATAACGCTGATGTCTCGTTTGAAACATTCAACTAGATCCTCATCAACTTTGGAGTATTCTTCAGGGATGGTGCTTCTTATCGCAGGGACAATTTTATAGGTATCGACGGAAATCACCCTGCAGGCATCTTTATACCTGTCTTGAATAGCCTGGGCAAGGGTGGACTTCCCGCTGCCGGGGAGGCCCCTCAGGATGAAGAAGGTTTTGGATTCTTTGACCGTGGCGATGGTGTCGTCGTCATCGAGGAAGGGGTACTGCAAGCCCTCGGGCCTCTCCTTTGCCGACTGCGAAGACATCTTCCGAAATATCTTAGGCAGGAACGCGTGACTCTTCTTGGAAAAGCCTCTGTTCTGGAATGTTAACAAGAGAAGAGGTTGTTGGATGGCAGTCCCGAGGGCGCCCGCGTTTCTACCGCGCGCCGGGAGCCCTGCGCGGAGCAGGAGCATCCCGGTCCCCACAGCGGCGACCCGGCTGCTTCCTCATCCCAGCGTTGTCCCTGGTACCGGACACGTTCCCGGGACGCGGCACCGGCCCAGCGGGCGCTGTCGTTCTGGAATGTTAACAAGAGAAGAGGTTGTTGGATGGCAGTCCCGAGGGCGCCCGCGTTTCTACCGCGCGCCGGGAGCCCTGCGCGGAGCAGGAGCATCCCGGTCCCCACAGCGGCGACCCGGCTGCTTCCTCATCCCAGCGTTGTCCCTGGTACCGGACACGTTCCCGGGACGCGGCACCGGCCCAGCGGGCGCTGTCGGACCAGGTACGGTGCCAAACCCGGGCATGGGTATCCGCAGGGAGAACGAGGAAGGTGCCCGGG